GACGGGGTTTCACCATGTTGACCAGGATGGTCTCGATCTCTTGACCTCGTGATCCACCCGCCTTGGCCTCCCAAAGTGCTGGGATTACAGGCGTGAGCCACCGCGCCCAGCCCAATTTTAACTTTTTATATTTGAATTGAGGTTTTTTTTGTAGGCAGCATACACTTGGGTTACATTTTTTGTCCATTCTGACATTTGATATGTTTAGATCATTTACATTTAGCCCAGTTTATGGATATGTTTGGATTTAAACTTACCATTTTATTATTTGTTTCTTCTCTCTGTGTTTTCTTCCTGTTCCCCCTTTGCTGCCTTCTCTTGGACTATTTGAACATGTTTTAGTATTCCATTTTAACTTATCTATTGCATTTCTGACTATATCTTCTTCTGTAGTTTTTTTTAGTGGTTAATCTAGGGATTACAATATATATATGCTAACCTCTCAGAGTCCATGTAGCATCAACAGTTTACCACTTAAGCTGGAATGTAGAAGTATTACTACCATACAGGTTCCTTTGCTCTTCTCCCTTTGTAGTTGAGTTGCTTTATGTAATTTATGTACTTTGAAAAAACCTTCAATGTTACTTTTCCTTTCAACCTTAAAACTTTTTTTTTTTTTTTTTGAGACAGAGTCTCACTCTGTTGCCCAGGCTATAGTGCAGTGGCATGATCTCAGCTCATTGCAACTTCCATCTCCCAGGTTCAAGTGATTCTCCTCCTTCAGCCTCCCAAGTAGCTGGGATTACAGGCATGTGCCATGATGCCCAGCTAATTTTTGTATTTTTAGTAGAGACAGCGTTTTGCCATGTTGGCCAGGCTGGTCTCGAACTGCTGACCTCAGGTGATACTCCTGCCCCAGCCTCCCAAAGTGCTGGATCAGACGTGAGCCACTGTGTCCCCCTTAAAACATATTTTAAAGAACTTAAGAGAGTAGCCTACTGTTTATGCTGAGAGTTTTACTGTTTTCATTGTTCTTCATTCATTCTTAATGTTCCCAGTTTCCTTCTGGTATCATTGCCCTTCTCTCTGAAGAACTTCCTATAACAATTCTTTTAGAACACATTTTCTGGCAGTGCCTTCTCTTAGTTTTATTTATTCTGACAGTGTCTTTATTTGATTTTCATTTTTGAGTTATAATTTCTGCTGGATACAGAATTCTAATGTGGCAGGGTTTTTTTCTGTTAGCATTTAAAAGACGTGCTGCTTTCTTCTGCCCTCTATGGTTTCTGATGAGAAATTGGCTATCACTTGACTTGTAGTTCCCCTATAAATGGTTTTCTCTGGATGCTTTTGAGATTTTTTTCAATTTTCTTTAAATTTCAGCCATTTAGTTATGGTAGCTCTTGAAGTTAATTTCTTTGGGTTTGGGTTTGTTTTATTTTAAGTACCCTGAGATTGTTGAATCTATAGGTTCAAAACATTTTGGCAAATTAGGAATACTTTCATCCATTATTTCTTCAAATATTTTTTGCATCATCACTTTTCTCCTTTGGTATTCTAATACAAATGTCAAAACTTTTTATATTGCCCACAAATCCTTGGGCTCTATTTATTTTTTAAATGTTTTTTTGAAGTAAGTTTAATCAGTCTCTTATGTTGTTAAGCATGGATAATTTCTATTCATCTACCTTCAAGTTTACTGACCTTCCTCCCATTTACATTCTGCCCACCTGTTAAGTTTTTATTTTACATTTTGTATGTAATTTTTAGTTCTAAAATTTCCCATTTGGTTCTTCTATTTCAGTTTCTCACATGGACATTTCTCTTTCTGAAGAAGCTCTCGATATTTTGTCTATTTGCCCGCCCTTTGTTGTAAAAAGTCAAGAGCAAAATGAACACAATAAAAATCTGGTTATGGGGCCGGGCGCGGTGGCTCAAGCCTGTAATCCCAGCACTTTGGGAGGCCGAGGCGGGTGGATCACGAGGTCAAGAGATCGAGACCATCCTGGTCAACATGGTGAAACCCCGTCTC